CTGTGCCTGTAGCTGAGGGGCAGCACGTGGCACCAAGGAGCCACGGCTGTATATGCCAGCTGCTTTCAGGAGTGGTGCAGGGCCAGGGCAGGAGTAAGCTGCCTTAACCTCATTGCTCCACCACCCAGAAGCCGTCTCAGTTAAATGGTGCCCAACCAGAGCCTGCATCCTATACCCGCCCCAGCCCTGAATCCCTTCCTGCATCTAACCTCCTGCCCCAGACATGAGTCCCCCTCCACCCAACTCCTTCCCAGAGCTTACACCCTGAAACCTCTCTTGGACCCCAATCCCCCAACCTGGGCTAAGTCCAGAGCCACTCCCACACTCCAAACTCCTTGGCCCAAGACCAAAGCCTGCTCCCCAACTCCCTATTCAAGCCTGGTGAGAGTGAGTGAGCATGGTGGGAGAGGAAGGGTGATGGAGCGAGCAGGTGAAGCCTTGGAAAAAGGGTGGGAAGTAAGTGGGACAAAGGTATTTGGGTTTGAGGAAGATCTTACATTGAACTTAAATAGAAAAAAGTGATCTTGTGATTAAAAAGGTTGGAGACCTCCCCCTTGGAGCATTTCTGATGAGACAGCATTCAACGAGTGTCCCATTTCTCCCCTTCCCATCTCCTTGCAAGTCACTGTCTCCCCCACCACCAACCTATAGTCATCCCCAGCTCTGCCATCAGACAGCTTCCTTCCCTGCATGGCCTGCCTCCCCGGCCCTTCCCCACCTCCCTGCCCTTCTCCAGCTCCCACAGAAAGTAGCTGGAGACCCAGAGTTCAATCTCGAAGGATTTTCAGCAAGGATTGCACAAGGTCAGCCTCTCCACCTTCAAGTCCCAAAAGGAACTAAAGAAATGTACTAAACAGAGCTATTTTATAACCCCCGGACACTATCTTCACACTTACTACAAACATAAAGAGAAAACCAAAAGTAAAATGTTAACAGTTCAGTCCACTCAAAACACACTAAGAAGAAACTCAGAGATCCCAAAGCCTAAGGCTAGTTCACCTAAGTCTCAGGGAGTGTCTGATCACCAGATCTGCACAATATGCTGAATCAGACTCTGAACCATCTTCCATCCACTTCCAGGGGTTGTGGTATCACAAAGTTTGAGAACCCCTGGTTTAAGCAGTCAGCTAACTCACAGCTAACTTAAAGAAAACCCCGTTACAAGAAAATATAAAAACTGAGAATAACAAAATAGAAATGATTTTTCCCCCATTGTTCCATTTAGAGAGGAGCTGAAGAATCACACTAGCTGAGATTCTAACTACCCAGTCTTCAGCTACTTAATGATTCCTTCTGCTCTCTGACTGCTACCCCCTTCCCCCTCCTATTTATTTTAGGTGTGCACATCCTAAACTCATACTCCGGTCATCTGAGGAAGTGGGCTGTGCCCACGAAAGCTCATGTTAGTCTATTAAGTTCTATCAGACCCTTGGTTGTTGTTTTTTCAGTAGCAGACTAACTCCGCTACCCCCTGAAGCTTCGTAATTAGAAGAGTTTGGCTAAAATCAAAATCACATTCCACACCTACAACTAAACCAAAAGTTATTTTCCCTTGTAGTTTCCCTATCTAAAATTAACATTGCCCATGTGCCCTGGTAGCACCATCGCTACCTGCCTCAGCGTGAGGGACAGAAGCCTGCTCTCTGCTCCTGGCCCAGCCTCTCCCAGCTTAAGCAGGGCACATGGCTTTGGCAAAGCAGCTGCCTAGACTGCTTGCTCATAGAGTCCGATCCCAGCAATAGAGCCAGAACCTACTGACGCAGACCCCAAACTACCACCTCCAATTCCAGAAGCTTCTGGGTGTGGAGGTGCAAAATCTACCTAGCAACAGTGACCCAGACACAACTCATTCCTACCTCCCCCAAGGGGGCTCTTAAAGAGAGATCTCCCCATTATGCACCTGGGTTACATGACATAAAACAGGAGTGGCCACCCAGTTAGAGACTTTCAAAAAAGCAGATTGCTTTTCTGATGTGCTTTGGACGCTCTCTTTCGCTCTCTTTCGGGAGATGTGGACGCTTTCTTTCAGGAGAAGTTTTTTCAGAAGATTTTTCCGGAAAAGCTTCTTCCAAAAGAAGCCTGCTGTCTAGATACAGTTTAAGAGCCAAAATAGCTGTGGATAGTAGTGCAAAGAGCCACATATTATATATTTCCTTTATGTATTTATATATTTATAAGACATGTATTATATATTTATTTTTATTTACCTATAACCCTAAGGCACCCCCAGCCTCCCTGCTCTAACCCAATACCTCTCCCCTTCCCCAGTGCCAGAAAGCCCCAGATTCTTTTATTAACAGCCTGGATCTCAGTATAAATATGTTGCTCGAGAATGCAGGGCAGTTATCAGGAAGGCGAAAGCGCAATTGGAATTGCAGCTGGCAAGGGATGTGAAGGGAACAAGAAAGGTTTCTACAGGCATGTTAGCAATAAGAGGGTGATCAGAGAGGTTGTGGAGCCCTTGCTGGATGAAGGAGGTAACCTAGTGACAGATGATGTGGGACAAGCTGAAGTACTCGATGCTTCCTTTGCTCTGTCTTCACAGACAAGGTCATCTCCCAGACTACTGCACTAGGCAACATATGGGAAGGAGGTGGGCAGCCCTCGGTAGAGAAAGAACAGGTTAGGAACTATTTAGAAAAGCTGGACATACACAAATCCACAGGTCTGGATTTAATGCATCCGAGGGTACTGAGGGAGTTGGCAAATGTCATTGCGGAGCCTTTGGTCATTCTCTTTGAAAACTCGTGGAGCTCAGGCGAGATCCCTGATGACTGCAAAAAGGCAAATGTAGTGCCCATCTTTAAAAAAGGGAAGAAGGACAAACCAGCAAACTACAGACCAGTCAGCCTTACCTCAGTCCCTGGAAAAATCATGGAGGGGATCCTTAAGGAATCCATTTTGAAGCACTTGGAAGAGGAGAAAGTGATCAGGAATAGTCAGCATGGATTCACAAAGGGCAAGTCGTGCCTGAGCAATCTGATTAGCTTCTATGATGAGGTAACTGGCTCTGTGGACATAGGGAAGTCAGTGGATGTGATAGACCTTGACTTTAGCAAAGCTTTCGATATGGTCTCCCACAATATACTTGCCAGCAAGTTAAGAAAGTATGGATTAAATGGACTGTAAGATGCATAGTAAGCTGGCTAGACTGTCGGGCCCAACAGATAGTGATTAATAGCTCAATGTCAGGTTGGCGGTCAGTGACCCAAGGATCGGTTTTTGTTCAACATCTTTATTAATGACCTGGATGAGGGGATGGATTGCACCCTCAGCAAGGTTGTGGCTGACCCTAAGCTAGGGGGAGAGGTAGATAGGCTGGAGGGCAGGGACAAGGTCCAGAGTGACCTAGACAGATTAGAGGATTGGGCCAAAAGAAATCTGATGAGGATCAACAAGGACAAGTGCAGAGTCCTGCACTTGGGATGGAAGAATTTCAAGCAATGTTACAGGCTGGGGACCGACTGGCTAAGTGGCAGTTCTGCAGAAAAGGATCTGGGGATTCCAGTGGATGAGAAGCTGGATATGAGTCAACAGGGCGCCCTTGTAGCCAAGAAGGCTAATGGCATATTAGGCTGCATTAGGAGGAGCATTGCCAGCAGATCTAGAGAAGTGATTATTCCTCTTTATTCAGCTCTGGTGAGGACACACCTGGAGTGTTGTGTCCAGTTCTGGGTCCCCTGCTATAGAAAGGATGTGGACGTATTGGCAAGGGTCCAGCAGAGGGCAACCAAAATTGTCAGGAGGCTGGAGTACATGACCTACGAGGAGATGCTAAGGGATTTGGGTTTGTTTAGTCTGCAGAAGAGAAGAGTGAGGGGGGATTTGATAGCAGCCTTCAACTTCCTGAAGGGAGTTTCCAAAGAGGATGGATGGAGGCTGCTCTTTGCAGTGTCAGATGGCAGAACAAGGAGCAATGGTCTCAAGTTACAGTGGGGGAGGTCTAGGTTGGATATTAGGAAACACTATTTCACTAGGAGGGTGGTGAAGCACTGGGATGGGTTCCCTAGGGAGGGGTGGAATCTCCATCCCTTGAGGTTTTTAAGTCTCGGCTTGACAAAGCCCTGGCCGGGTTGATTTAGTTGGGATTGGTCCTGCCTTGGGCAGGGGGCTGGACTTGATGACCTCCTGAGGTCTCTTCCAGCTCTAGGATTCTATGATTCTAACCCTAATAAGAGCTGCATTTCTATGAGCAAAGAGCCATGTGTGGCTCAAGAGCCATGAGTTGGCCACCTCTGGCATAACAGATGGCCTCCCTGCTCTTAATTATGGGACCTGGGCAGGGCCCAGGAATGGCCCAAACGCAGTGATTGCAGGGGCAATTTGACTCACTTCTGGAATGTCTCGACTGGGTGTGTGCACACGGCAGTTGTGCAAAGGCTTCCCACCTGGCTAGCTTTGGGCAGGCTTTCACCAACACAGCTCACTGCCCATCTTTAACCCAATGTCCAGAATGTTTCCCCTTCACCTCATTCTCTGAAATGGCTGAAACATCGTGGGTGAAATTTTAAACAAACAAATGAACCCCTCAGGGTGACACCAGGCACGGAAAGTTTTAGCCAAATTATTAAAGTTTGAGAAATTTGTAAGAAAAAGCCAATAGAGTTTGATCATGAAAAGGCAACCTTAGTCATGGTCTGTGTTGCCAGCCTGTTCTCTCTGGGCCTGCTGCCTCACCTGGAAAGCACTTTGGAAGCTGCTAATGAAAGTGCTAGAGAAGAGCTAAAGATTATTAATTATCATTAGCCTCTTATTCTCCCCGTTACGTTCTGGCCCAGAAATAAGTGGTCCCCAAACTGCAGGCCCAGTAATGTTCTGGGGGGAAGGGGAGGTCACACAGCAGAGCCAGCAAGGAGCACCCTACTTCCAGCCCTGCTCTGGCTCCCAGCCCAGTTCTGCCCTTATTCCCTTTCCACCCCCAGCCCAGCTCCCTCTCTAGCCTCAAATCTCCACAGTTCCACCCCCAGCACTGCCATCAGCCCTTGCTCTGCTACTGAGCAGTAATGGAGAGGGGGCAGGGACTGATTCCCTTAACGTGAGGTCAGGAGTGACTGGAAATAGACTGCCCTAGACAGAGCTTCTAACAGGGTGGAATTCTGGGAGCTGCCTTGCTTCAGGCAAAACCATAAACTGGCCTAGCAAATTGTTCAGTGTGTTGCTAGTAGACCTCAGATGTGAACAAGCAAGGAACGTTTTCCAATTCATTACAAAACAAAACAAAACTTTTTCTTCTTGTATTTCTGTCTCTTTGACGTCTGCCTTTGGAAGATGTGGTTTGCCCTCCAGCATGCAAAATACAGACATCACAGCCCACCTAGAAATGAGAGGGAGCAACAGGAATCCACACCAGCTAGCCGAACACTGATGCAATGTGAGCAAAGAGTGTGGGCAAAAGAAGCACACCCCTAGCCCAAGGCTCAGGGGAGGCACTTTCCTTTCAACATAAAAGCACATTTGTAATTAATGATGAAGATTCTGTCAGTTTAAATAAGCAGCCTGCAGCTGAACCATTCTGCCTTCTTTGCCTGCTGCCGGGAAATGAAATTCACATCTCTGTGGGATTCGGGCCATTTGTGCAAAGAACTTTCTGCAGCCTTGGTTTCATGGTTATATTTTTGGGCTGGGAATAATGAAGGAAAGCAAAGGTGGCCAAACCATGTGGAAGGGAGAGAAAGGGAGTAATTCCCTTAGGCAGGGAGGTAGAAAGCTGTAGCAGGGAAATGGTTAACAACCTGCTATGAAGCCAATGCCCTACTGAGGCAAGGGGGTCAAGTATATCTGAGGTGTGCTGCTTGGCAGCTGGAAAGAATGTGTGTGAGAGTAGGAGGTTGTCTGTAGGCAAGGATTGGTCTGGCCCCCAAGGCCTGTGAGAGTGAGGGATCATTTTCCAGGATAGGTTGTAGATTGTTAATGATGCGCTGGAGGAGTCTGAGTTGTGGACTGTAGGTGATGACTAGTGATACATCTGTTTCTTCAAAATAGGCTCAACAAACAAAATAACAGAACACCACTCAAATATACTCACCCTGGATCTAACCCTGCAATACGCCTCCCCTGCAATAAGCACCATTTCCCACTCTGTCCACACATCTACACAAGCAACGCCAACACAGGACCTAACCACAAGAGCCACCATATCAGAGACTCATACAACTGCACTTCCACTAATGTGATCTATGCCATCAAGTGCCAGCAATGCCCCTCTGCCAGGTATATTGGCCAAATTAGATAATCTCTACAAAAAAGGATTATTGGGCACAAATCAGATATTTGCAATGGTAACACACAGAAACCTGTTGGGGAACATTTCATCTTGGCCGGGCACTCACTAATGGATTTAAAAGTAGCCATTGTCTTGCAGAGGAATTTCAGGAACCAACTAGATAAAAAGATTGCAGAATTGGCCTTCATTTGCAAATGACATCAAAAGTTAAGTATCAGGCACTTACAGCCCACTCTATTAGCCTCATTTAGCATGGATGCTTTAATGGACAGGTTTTTTTACCTCTTCCTCTCTCCCCTCTTTTTCTGCTATATATTTGTACCTCTGGGCCCTTTCCTCCATTTATCTGAAGAAGTGGGTTGTACCCACAAAAGCTCGCGATACTATCTATATTCCTTTGGAACAGTTTATCACAGTCCTGCTTTTCTGTATCCCCACCAAAGTACAAACATTGGTAACCATAGTTTAGCAGTCCCTGCATTTAATACAAACAGGGTTGGATCACAAATTAAGTTGATTACAGTGAGCAAAATACCCCTCCATCTGTAGAATAGCTAACATACCCAAGCAAAGCAAGAGCAAACTGTATTTCCATAGCCTCACCTGGGAGTTCTCTCCCGTGCCAGCTAGCTGTAGGGTTGCATTCCTTCAGACTCTGCTTACACAGGGACCGGGGCAGGTCTGGTTTCATTAACTTCTTCATTAGCCATCTGGAGTGGTGTGTTTCTGGGGCAAATAGCACATTAGTGGCAGTCAGAAATGATGCTAAATAGACAGGACAGAGAAGTCCCCGGCAGGGCCCTCCCCAGATTTGAGATGCGAGCAGAACATGACATGCTGTAGTCCGCCTGGACTTGAAATGATCTGACACTCACTTGCTGGTGGGAAGGGGGCAGTTGCCCCCCTGCAGCTCGTCCCAGAGGTGCTAGGTGGCAGCAGGACTGCATGCCCAGCTGGGCCAGGTGCTGCCCTCCAGCCTCTCCCAGTACTGCAGCCCCATCCCACAGTCCCCACGAACTCTCATCCCTGCACCTGCCACTGTGCGCTGTGACACCTGCCTGCATGGCTCTGGGGGCTGTCTGTCCTGGGTGCCCACACTGCAGGGCAGCTAGCTAGTGAGGTGGCACCTTCCCTACGCCTCTGAGCTGGGTCTTGCACAGCCATGGAGCACGCTTGGCACTGCACAGACATACTGACTGAGTGCTTCTTCCCCCAGCCCACCCCCTTGGGCTTTGATGAGGCTCGGGCCCGATCCCCTGATGCCCCCAATGTGTCCTGAATTGGGCGAGGCGCCTAAATAGCAATTGGTTCCTGCCAAAGCTCATGAAAAATGGGGCTGTCACTGTTTTGGAGCCAGGTGACTCCACTGGGCAATCCGCCCCAGCACACAGTGCAGGCAAGAGTCTGTGGGCAACAAGGCTGAGTAGCTGCAGTTTGCTCTCCACAAACCTGTGAATCTTGTGACCTGCACAAGCCAAAGCCCCACGCAGAACAAACCAACCCAGTGCGGGCAGCCTTGTTCCGTGTTATTAATTGCAGGAGTCAGCAGCTGGCTGCTCAGGTCACACACACTGCAGGAGGCAGGCCCCAGCAACCAGCAAAGCTGGGTCCTTTCCATTGCCTTCGGGTCACATTCTCACAACAGTTCCAGGCTTCTCTCTGCCACAAGAAGTGCTAGAAACAGGCACAGAATCCAACGTTGCTGTGATCATCTAATCTGACCCCAGCACAGCTCAGGCCGGACACCTGCAGCCAAACAGGTCCTCCCCACCCACCCCAGGAGTCTGGGAGTGTGGGTTTGAGTCCCACCCATGCTCCACCCTGACTGCCATACGAGCAGGGAGTTGGCTGTGCAGCCCCAAAGCAAGCCCCCTACCCCAAGAGCAGCAAGGCAGCTTCCCCGGAGTTGGAGCTGTTTGGCTGTTTTTAGAGAGCTTCAGAGGGGGAGCTGAGTTAGTCTGTAACTGGAAAAACTTAAAAACAACGAATAGTCTAGCAGCACCTTAAAGACTAACAAAACAGGTACATGGGATCATGAGCTTTTGTGGGCACAGCCCACTACTTCAGGTGACCGGAGTATTAAAAGTCCAGATCCAAGAATAAATAAGGGAAGGGGTGGGGGAAAAAAGGAGAAAAAAGACAGTGAATGGATTGTTCAAGTTACAAAAGGCTGATAAGAACAATTAGCACCTCCATTGTGTGGCTGGTCGGTTGAAGTCATTAGGATGTGGACTGGATACTCCAGTCATTTGAAGAAGTGGGTTGTACCCAGGAATGCTCATGATACCATCTACATGTGTTGTTAGTCTTTAAAGTGTTTTTAGAGAAACAGCCAATCTGGACTGAAAAAGTGCCGGCAATGGAAAATCCACCATGACCTGTGGGAAAAGGTTGCTCTGGTTAATTACCCCCCCTGTTAAATGCAGGTCTTGCTTTGAAAATGAAAGATGAGATTCTCACATGAACCCCTGACTCCAGGAGGTAGGGAGTAAGAAAACATACCCCTCCTAATATTGCAAAACTCAAGCTATCATTTAGCAATGCTGAGGTTGCTCATGCAGGACTTGAGATAAGGCCAAGCCGGCAGTAGGAGAGAACTTAAATGTGGGAATTTTCTAATGTTTCAGTGCTTGCTTTTGCCTGGCTTTTGCATTGCATTAGCACAATTTTCTGCATTTATTTGAGCTTTTAAAGCAAAACTGTAAAGGAGAGATCTGGAGTTACTTGGCTTGGGTAGTCTCCTGGATATTGCAAGTTCCTGAAACTTGGTGTCTCACAAGTTTTGAAACGGTTTGTTTGTTTGCACTAGTAGTGATTTTAATAAACATCAGCACAGGCAGGAGCCAGGCACTGTCTAGCAGAATGATGTTTAAGTTTAGGTTAATTGAAAGGATGATGCGAGAACAAATAAGCCTACAGCTGAAATGAATTTAGGATGACAGCTGCCTCCTGGAGACAGCTCTAGAATCTCGCTGAAAGGTAAAATCACAATTTGTGCACAGCAACATACAGCAGAGGCACAAACTATACCTGCATACAGAGACTACAAGATACCGCAGGGTCCATGTCACAGCTGGGAAACAAAAACAGCACTATGGCTATGTCTACACGGGCAGCTTCTTGCGCAAGAACTGTTTTGCGGAAGAGTTCTTGCGCAAAAAGTCTTCCACAAGAGCATGTCTAGACTGGCGTGTGCATTTGCACAAGAGATGTGCTTTTGCGCAAGAGCATCTATGGCAGTGTGGATGCTCTCTTGCACATGAAAGCTCCGATGGCCATTTTAGCCATAGGGGTTTCTTGTGCAAGAAATGTATGTTGCCTGTCTACACTGCCCTCTTGCACAAGAGCTCTTGCACAAGAGGGCTTATTCCTCATGGGGAGAGGAATAACTCTTCCAGAAGAAGCCCAGTTTTCTGACGCTGGAGTGTAAATTTACTTGTGCAAGAATGCGCATGCAGTGTAGACATCCAGCTGTTCTTGAGCAAGAAGCCACCCGTGTAGACGTAGCCTATTTGTACCAGTTTTCTAGTGCCAGAAAGAGAAGGGAGCTATACTGCTCTGCTAGCCACACCAAGTGAAATGCAAAAAGGAAACCGCATCATACCAGACTCAGGTCTTGGTGTCAGTGCTGCAAGGGATTATTAGCAACACTGGCAAGGAAGGGGACTGATTGAGGATGGTTAAAATCTTGAGAGTGCCCCTTTAAAGTGTGTCTAAGGCTAACCTCTCCCACTCACCCCATGGGAACTGATCTCCCCTGCCTCCATGCCTGCGTTAGCCCCCAAAGGAGGGCTTTGGAAGAAGGCTCTTTAGCCGATAGCAGCATTGCCATCTCCCTGCCTCTGGTGCCTGGCACTGGCATGCAAGGAAGCAAAAAGAGCATCTGTCTCGGCTTCTCAAGTCATGCAGGTGTCTAGGGACAGAGCCATGATACACAGGAGGTCTTGGGTGGCTTCCACACCCTTGTATAACAGGCTGTGGCTGCACCATAGGCGGGGGGGAATAGGGTGGGTCTAGTGTAATCCATCATGAATGTAGGGTCCCATCCAGAGTGCATGCAAAACAGTGGCAGAAGCAGCTCACATGTTGCTCCTGCTGAGAGATGCAGCAAAACGTGTCCTGGAGAATGCTGTGCTAGCTCTTCTGGTGCTTCTGCCGTCCTGCTCTGGTAAGACTGGGGCCTGTCGACAGAGGGATGCAAATCAAGCACGTCAAAATTGCTAATGAATCCAGGATTTAAATATCCCATGCCTCATTAGCATAAACATGGCCACTGCTTTTTTTTCGATACAGAGTTTTTTAAAAAAACCCTGTAGTCTAGACATGAATCTGTTGAAAATAAACCCTTTTTCGACAGATCCGCGTCTAGACTGCTGGCTTTTTTGGAAAAAAACTCCATTTAAAAAAAAAAGCGGCGTCCGTGTTTATGCTAATGAGGCACGGGATATTTAAATCCCGGCTTCATTAGCAATTTTGACGTGTTTGATCAGAGAGGTGTAGTCTACACACCCAGAATGTCTCATTGGCCCCCTCGGGCCCCTCCTTGCCATGGTGCTGCTGCACATGTGCGCTGCTGTGGGCAGAAGTGGAGCCGAAGCGTGAAATGAGACGAGATGTTTATTAACTGTGGCATGACCACAGCTAGGGCTCAATGCCTGGCAACATTTCTACCCTGAAACAAGCTAGGCATAAGAACATAACATAAGACCATAAGAATGGCCATATTGGGTAAGAGCAAAAGTCCATCCAGCTCAGTATCCTGTCTGCCAACAGTGACCAATGCCCGGTGCCCCAGAGAGAGTAAATCGAACAGGTAATGATCAAGCCATCTCTCTCCTGCCATCCAACTCCACCCTGACAAACAGAGGCTAGGGACACCATTCCTCACCCAGACTGGCTAATAGCTATTTATGGACTTAACCTCCATGAATTTATCTAGATCTCTTTTAAACCCTGTTATAGTCCTGGCCTTCACAACCTCCTCAGGCAAGGAGTTCCACAGATTGACTATGCGCTTTGTGAAGAAGAACTTCATTTCATTTGTTTTAAACCTGCCGCCCATTAGTTTCATTTGGTGGCCCTTAGTTCTTATATTATGGGAACAAGTACATAATTCTTCCTTATTCACTTTCTCCACACCACTCATGATTTTAAATACCTCTATCATATCCCCCCTTAGTTTCCTCTTTTCCAAGCTGAAAAGTCCCAGTCTCTTTAATCTCTCCTCATATGGGACCCGTTCCAAACCCCTAATCATATTAGTTGTCCTTCTCTGAACCTTTTCTAATGCCAGTATATCTTTTTTGAGATGAGACGACCACATCTGTACTCAATATTCAAGATGTGGGCGTATCATGGATTTATGTAAGGGCAATAAGATATTCTCCGTCTTATTCTCTATCCCTTTCTTAATGATTCATAAAAGTCCGTTTGCTTTTTTGATTGCTGCTGCACACTGCATGGACATCTTCAGAGAACTATCCACGATGACTCCAAGATCCCTTTCCTGATTATTTGTCGCTAAATTAGCCCCCATCATGTTATATGTATAGTTGGGTTTATTTTTTCCAATGTGCATTACTTTATATTTATCCACATTAAATTTCATTTGCCATTTTGTTGCCCAGTCACTTAGTTTGGTGAGATCGTTTTGAAGTTCTTCACAGTCTGTTTTGGCCTTAACTACCTTGACCAGTTTAGTATCTTGCAACTTTGCCACCTCACTGCTTACCCCTTTCTCCAGATCATTTATTAATAAGTTGAATAGGATTGGTCCTAGGACTGACCCTTAGGGGACACCACTAGTTACCCTTCTCCATTCTGAAAATTTACCATTTATTCCTACCCTTTGTTTCCTGCCTTTTAACCAGTTCTCAGTCCATGAAAGGATCTTCCCTCTAATTCCATGATAACTTAATTTACGTAAGAGCCTTTGGTGAGGAACTTTGTCAAAGTCTTTCTGGAAATCTAAGCACACTATACATACTGGATGCCCCTTGTCCACATGTTTGTTGACTTTGCATCTATTTACGTTGATCTGCTTAGATTCAAGTACCCATTCTCCAGATATTTAATGATGCCCTGTCTCACACACACCCCTTCCTTTTTCCCCCCCTCTCCTTCCCCTCTCCTATTTATTTCGAGTTTTCATATCCCCTACTCATAACTCCAGTCATCTGAAGAAGTGGGCTGTGCCCATGAAAGCTCATGATACCATCTGCATGTTTTGTTAGTCTATAAAGTGCTCCATCATGACTGAACATAGTGGCCGGCACATTCCATTGCCTGCCCCACACATCCTGGCAAAGCCTCCAGGGTCTGGGCTGAGCCTTGTGCAGATTGAGACGGTTACATGGAGCCATTTCTCCTGATCCATGAATGCACAAAGCTCTGGGATAACTGCATAGAATCATAGAATAATAGGACTGGAAGGGACCTCGAGAGGTCATCGAGTCCAGCCCCCCGCCCTCAAGGCAGGACCAAGCTCCGTCTACACCATCCCTGACAGATGTCTATCTAACCTGTTCTTAAATATCTCCAGAGAGGGAGATCCCACCACCTCCCTTGGCAATTTATTCCAATATTTGACCACCCTGACAGTTAGGAATTTTTTCCTAATGTCCAATCTAAACCTCTCCTGCTGCACTTTAAGCTCATTACTCCTTGTCCTGTCCTCAGAAACCAAGAGGAACAAATTTTCTCCTTCCTCCTTGTGACACCCTTTTAGATATTTGAAAACCGCTATCATGTCCCCCCTTAATCTTCTTTTTTCCAAACTAAACAAGCCCAGTTCATGAAGCCTGGCTTCATAGGTCATGTTCTCTAGACCTTTAATCATTCTTGTCGCTCTTCTCTGTACCCTTTCCAATTTCTCCACATCTTTCTTGAAATGTGGTGCCCAGAACTGGACACAGTACTCCAGCTGAGGCCTAACTAGTGCAGAGTAGAGCGGCAGAATGACTTCACGAGTTTTGCTTACAACACACCTGTTGATACAACCCTCAAGCACAAGGACTGTTCCCTCCATCTGCCCCCCAGCCCACACCTGTGCTCTGCCCTCCCACAGCACCGGTGCACGGGGGAGGGTGTCGGAAGCTGGGTGTTTGGTCTGCTGCAGCCCCAGCCCTCATGATTATAAGAGCTGGACACAGGAATCGCGCATGGAAAAACGGATGGGAATGGCTTGGTGCAAGAGCGTCCCCACAGGAGTAAGGAGCTGGGTGTGAGAGATATGTGGCTCCCGAAGCCCAGACTTTGCCTAAGTCTTGCTTGAAGTCACCTTGGCAGTCCACAAAGCTCCCGCTCGGTTGCCACCAATTTGCTTGTGCCTAAAATTGCTCAGCGCCCGTGTTTGTGCACCTCTGCTATTGCCATGAACCAGGGGGTGATGGGCACGCCTCTGCCTCAGTCACATCAATTGCTCGGAGGCCTCCTACCACCACACAGAACAGCAGTGGGGGGAGGGGGCCCTTACAGCCAGTAGCTGGGCTTTGGACTGACACTGGGACCCCCTCTCTTGGGACAGCACAAAGGAGCTGAACGCTCACTCCCTTGTGCCGAATGGTCCTTCCCAGGACACTCCCCTGGGAGGTCACTTTGGAGGGAGGCATAAAGTGTAAAGACCAAATGGTCCAGGGTGGCCACTAGCTCTGAGACATGCAGGGTCTGGTTTTCACGGCTCCCATTGACTCCAAGATGAACTAGCACTTGTGAGCTCCAGGCCTGCACATCTCCAGACTAGGAATGTAACAGTGTAGCTGATTAATCAATAAGAAAAAGCTTCTAGGTTAATGCTACAGACTACACACATTTCCCCCCGCCCCACTTGCCAGCACATTTTTTAACAGGCTGGTCAGCAGCCCAGCTCAGTCGTGGCTTGCACCAGGCCCAAGACCTACCCCCACTGTGACTCTGCACTTAACGTGTATTAGGAGCCAGGCGGGTCAGCAGCCCGGCTCAGTTCTGGCTCATGCTGGGTCCAGTAGCTCCACCCCACACTGCTGCCTCTGTGTCAGAGGTAACAGCGTGGGGTGGCAGGCAGCTGGTCCATGAGGGGAGCTGGTTTTTAAACTGACTCCTCTTGTAGACCAGCTCCCCCAGTACCCCATGGAGAGGCGGGGGGCTCCTTGGGAGTAGGGCCGGAGCGCAATAGCTGCCAGCCCTGCCCCAGGGACTGTGGAATAGCCAAGTAACTGATGAGAATTCATGACATTAATTGACTATTCTGTTGCAAGGGGATGTGGATTGCAACTGCTTTAAACACTAAGGAGAGGGGATCACCACATGGGAGTGTAAAGGATTTTTTATTCAACTAAAACTGGGAAGGGAGGGGAATCTCATTCATACATTCAATCACACTTACAGTCCCAGGCAGGATGATAAGGCGAGCAGAAGGCAGTTCATATTCTTTGATCTTCCCAAGTTGACTCCTAAGCTGGTCCGCTGGCCAGGCGATCCGAGCAGAGGGCGTTCTGGGAGGCTTCACTTGATAGTCCACCACCACTGTGTCTCTCTCCCTCTCTGTCCCTCTCTCCTTCAAGGATCAGCCACATGCAGCCTCTGAGTCTAGGCCTCTTGGGGCTGTGTGCACTCTCTGCTGGGGGCCGTGTGCATTGTTGTTTACTCCTGCT